TATACGTACAAAAGAGCTCAAAAATAAATGCAGCTTTTGTTTTTGATTTTGAAAACTTCCGGTTTTTGTTTTTGTCTTCTTTACGATCGTAATTTGATCTGTTTATGCGTTAAGAATTTCGCATAAAGTTCGCAAAATTAAGACATGGACCGGCAGCTGCTCCCTTGTTGCTTGGCTAAATGATAATAAGCCCAAAAAAAGAATAAGAAAACTTGGGACAGACCTTACCAATTACACGTGTAACCGTTACGCATCAGGGAGGCAAACAGCATAAAAATAAGTAAAACGAGGCTAACAATTAAACGGAAATGTCACAGGCAAAAATTGGTTCTTGTTTGTTGCAATTGCCAACAACAAAATACGCTAAATTTAAATATGAATGCATTTTTGCCTAGGGCAAACATACACACAAATATATATATATATAGAGGTGTGCAGAGGTGTATAATTATGGAGCAATGGCCTGTTAGCTCGTCTCAGGAAACCCGCGAGACACAAAGGCGCAAATGCAATCGAAAAAGGCCTACCCAAATCAAAGACGACAACAACAAGCACAAGAACAAGGACAAGGACAACAAGGATGAGAACGAGAATGAGCATAAGGACAAGGGGCAAAATTGAAGCTGCGCACAAAATGGCAAATGGAAATAAGAAAAAACCGTGAGAATCGCTCGTTACTCACGACGCATTTCCAAATTCCAGAAAGAAAGTATTGCGCGACTAACTAATATTGTGGTATCCACAGGCAAGGCATCCAGCAGCATCCTTTGCACCCCCCGAGTACACATACAGATCCACCCCAATGCCTTCAGCATTGTCCTAGTTGTGCCAATGCGCAACATTTTCATCTTGGGGGTTGCATAAATTATACATTGTACATAAATTATACATATGTACGTACATCATTCCAAATCCGATGCGCAGTTTTAGCTCTGCTTTGATTGCTTTTCAACAAGTTTTACGGGCTTTTGAGCGATTCAATTTGGTACAGTTTTTAAATGCGATTTTTTAGGGGAGGCAGTTGGAGTAGGAGTTGTACTATATTCTGAAAGGATTGAAGCAGAAATGCTAAAGAACTAACTTTATTGATAAGACATTTAGTGAGTTTAAAAGTATTTAAAAGTAAATTGAGTTTAAAGAAAGTAAAGGTTAAGAAAAAAAAACATAATTTACGTTTATTTTGTAATTATTATATTTCCTTACGCAAGAAGTATATACATAAGTTATAAGTTTGAGTTCAAGAAATGGAAAATATATATGCTAAAATAAATTTTATTAAAATGTATTATTAGTAAGCTTTATATTTTGTTAATTTATTTCATACTCTTTCTTCCTTACCCTTATAATTTCGAGTTCGACTAATCTGAAAAAGCTAGTTGCATTCAAATTGATTTTTTATATAATTTACTACGCTTAAAGATACGATAAAGAATTCGATTTTAATTATAGAAAATTCTCAATAACTAATTTGTTAACCTTTTGAAGTAGTTTAGTTTAAATTATATTTAGGTCTCTCTAACTTTTCCTAAAGATACCTAATGCAATCACCTCGAAATATCCAATTATTTTGCAAAATTTTGTTAATTATTTAGATATGTAGTATCATAAGCAACCTAACCCCCAAACATGACGGCTTTCTTAATGATTCATTTAAGTTTATCTGAGGATTCGATTGATTAATTAAGAACTGATTTAGCCACAACTAACAACTAGCTAGTAAATAATATAGCAAGTAATTTACTTTAAACTTTATTTTCCTTTGAATGAAAATAAATTATATTTTGAAGTAATTATATAAAATAACTTATACAATTTCCAATTGCTAAATAATAATTTTCCACGGTGCAGCATATCAATTGTTTGGCAATAAAACCAACCCCACAACGCGAATGGGTAGGCTAAACAGGAACCCAGTTTAGAGATGAGTTACGCATTAAGTAAACAATGCGAACATGGCACAATAATTGTACCGAATTTCGACTTTGGCCGGATGAAAGGAATGCGCAGTTCTCATTCAACATTTCAATGGCAAAGATTATGCGTAAAAAAACGAAGATGACAATCGGAAAGGAAAGGAAACTTATATAAGTTGAATCCTTTGTGTGTGAGTGCGTAATTATTATTTTAGAATTGGGGTTGCGCGGTTTTCAACAAACGCAAACGCAAACGCATCGTTTTAGGGTTGGGCTCAAGGACAACGGGAAAAATAAGTAGAAAAAGAAGAAGAAGCATAAGCAGAAGAAGCAGCAGCAACAGCGACGGCTGCATGCCAGGACATGTTGGCTCTAGTGAAAGTAGATCATAAAGGGCGAGGGGTTGCTTTATGATTTAATAATAATCAGGTTGGGCCTAATATAATAATGCCATAACCTTGAGCCAAAGGTAAATAATAATTAAGCCCGATACACACACACACACACAGAGACAAATACACACACACACAGACACACGTGTTGCTCGGAACGGGATATCAGGGCGCAGTCGAAAACTGCCTACAGCTGCCAGCAGCGATATATGGAGCGGCAGCTGCAGGCAACTGCCGCTGTCAAGGAGCAAACACCACGTGCCAAGGTGACTCAGCTGAAGGAGAAGCAAGAGCAGCAGCGGCAGCAGGAGGCAAAGCTATTATCCTGCGGGACGGCCATTTTGTGCGGCGCTTAACTTGACAGAGGCAGCTGCTCCACGATCACGATATGAAGCATGCTTTACTTCTCTCTCACTCACTCTCCCTCTCTCTCTCTCTCTCTCTTTCTCTCTCTCTCTATTGCTCTGCTGTGGCAGTGGCAACCAGTTGTTGCGCCCTAAGCTTCCAGCAAGTCCTGCCTGCTGCTTTGTCCTTTAAGAAAGCTGCCAGGCAATAACCACAGATGTTTTCCTTTTTTTTTTTGTTTTGTGCCTTAGGAACGTGTTTCCAAACATGATTTATGGCTGATCTTTTGCTCGCTGCTGCTTGTTGCTACTTCTTGTTAGAGTTGCCAAGCGCATTGTTTGCCACACATTGACCAGCTGCTTTGGCCTGACCCCAACAGCATCTTAGAGATGTCTGCAAACCGGTCTCATATCTCTTTACCGTCTGCTTTTGTGTCTCGTTTTTATGCCGTGTTATGATCTCGATTTACAATTAGCTATACAAAAGGCATGTTGCCTATTTCTTGTTTCATTGTCACCCTTATAAATAAATTGTCACAATTGTGCAGTTTAAGTAGACATTAAAAACCCAAAATTAAAAAACCAAAAAACCAAAACACCCAAAAACCCAGCCTTTGAGCACTTCATTAGCTCTCGATGGATATTATCAAGTTGGCCAACGCTACTTAGCCATAATCAGAAGAGTCATGCGAACATGAAATGCTGGCTGCATCGCTGCCATCGTTGTGGATTGACGCCTCCCGGTAGCACTTAAGACAAATAGCTTGCACACCTATCGACAGGTGCGCACACACAGCTCCCAGATGCAGCAACTCGAGATGGTCGCGTGTCGCGCCGCTTATGCAACACGATGCGACACGTCCATGAACACCAACAACGCGTGCAACAAATTCCATCATCTCGTAAAGTTAATATTACATCAATTCGTGCAGAATTCGCTTTGTATTAAAATTCATTTGATTTAAATAGCAATTTAAATCGATTTAGCAAATAGGCAATTTAATTACATTTAATATTGAAAATGAAAAATATTCCATGTACAAATTAAAAAGCCGAATAAATATAAATAAATTAAGAGTTAAGTAGAAAGGAATATTTAAAATGACTTTAGCAAACGCTCGAAAAACAATTTTGAATTTTCTGCAATTTTACTTCGATATCTTTCATTTTGGTAATTTCAAAATCAACATTAAAAATTGATTTGAATGCTTCCTACAAACTTTAACTTAAATATTAAGGAAATTTGTATACACCAGCGATGAACACGAGCTCAACTCTAGAAAGAGCAGAATACATAAATAAGCTTCAACTGGGAGCAGTGGAGTCGAACGCCTTCGTTTAGTTGTCGCATTTTCAATTAGTTTTAAATCAGAACTGATTGAATTCTTTTTAGCGAACGCATCGCATCGCAGGCAATCTTATCTTAACAGTTATGATGTGGCCGCGTGCTCTGGCTTGTTTTGGCATTCTGCGCCAAAATTTATTGACAAAATTTGCAAGCGAGATTACATAGGGAGCAGGCACCGACTATGAAACTGAAGCTGAAGCTGCATGACCAGTAGCCGGTGAGCGTAGGTAAGCAGGAAAGGTAAACGGTAGTCCAGAAGTTGCCATCGGCATATACGAAATCTATGACCATAGCTGTGCATAATAAATGGAGCACTTTTGCAATAGCGTCTGTTCAACGGCGGCGTTGCAAGCAAAGCGACAGGTAAGTGGCACACAAAAAAAAAAGGTTTGCGAAAACCCAAAGGCAGGCATGCAAATGGCTGTCTGGCGGCTGCTGCACCGTCAAAGCCTGGTCAAGTCTTTTTTTTATGAATAGCTGCCCGTGCATGGCAATGGCATCTGGCCATAACAAGTGGCGCTCTCTGCAACAACAACAAACAAGAGCAAAACAAACAAATAAACAACGAACAACTTTGTAACTTTCTTTTCAAATTGAAAAGAACGTTGTTGTTTGCCGCACACAAGCTGAGTGCTGTAAAACGTGAAAGTATTAGATCGGTTAACAGAATATGTTAACTGTTAACATAGGCTTTAATTATTTGAGGTATCGATACATCGATGTTTGCAATAATTTAATTAATAGAGATTTTGGTATGCGCAGGTCTGTTAATCTTTTAAATGAGATATTAAATAACATATGAGTGTGACGCCACGAACGAACAAATTTGTAAATAATAATTGTATATTACGTTTTATATTATTGTAAGTTAAATTTACACTGCAATGGTGCTTCAAATTGTCCAGTTTTGATACATTTTCGATAAAATTCAGTTATTGCTTGCTGCACATATATTTGCCGCATTTGAGAATGTGACGTCAATCACTGAGAGCCAATCAGCTGCTTATCACTTGGAGTAATGACCTTTGCATTTGCCTTAATCCTCTCGCTGTAATCAAAATCAATTGAATCCAATCAAATAAGCGCCAAGCAAATAGCAACACTCCATTCAATCAACGTATGGACGGCGCAGTCAGATATTAGAGACAAGTTGAGCCAATACTTTTCCGGTCATATAAGGTGAGCCAGATAACATTCACTTCAGATAAGCGGCAAGCACTTGCCGGCAACAACAACAACAACAGTAACAGCATTGATTTGTTGCCAAAAACAGGTTAACGTCGGCAAAATGCTTCGAAGGCTCAGTTCGTTAAAGGTCAGCAGAATGCGCGGTTTCTCGACGCTTGTGCAAAGCAAGGCGCTGGTCAACGGCAATTGGATTGATTCTAGTAGCCGGGAAACATTCGAGGTGCGCAATCCGGCAAGCGGCGCGGTCATTGGAAATGTGCCCAACATGACGGTGGAGGATGCCCAGCAGGCGATCGATGCCGCCAAACAGGCCTACGAGTCGAAGGAGTGGCGTTCTCTGACCGCCAAGGATCGCTCCAATATGTTAAAGGTGCGTGAGAGAGAAAGAGAGGGGGAGACAGATAACAGGGCTGCTAAAATTAGAACTGGATAAGAAATAATGAAGATTCTGAATGCTTTTCAACACATAAAAACTTTTAATAGTGTTGGATACATGTTTTGGATTGTGCGCCAAACAGTTTGAATATACATTCAAATCCCTATTAATCAGAGACAACCTCTTACAGAAATGGCACAAACTCATCGAGCAACACTCACAGGAAATAGCTGAAATAATGACGGCCGAGTCGGGCAAACCAATCAACGAGTCCAAGGGCGAGGTGCTCTATGGCAATGCATTTGTGGAGTGGTTTTCGGAGGAGGCGCGTCGCATTTACGGTGAAGTTGTGCCCAGTGGCACAGCAAATCGCGAGGTGATTGTAATGAAACAGCCGATTGGCGTTGCAGCGCTAATAACGCCGTGGAACTTTCCACTTGCGATGATAACGCGCAAGGCAGGTGCTGCTTTGGCCGCCGGCTGCACAGTGGTTGTTAAACCGTCGGAGGATACACCGTTGACGGCGCTCGCCGTGGCCAAGCTGGCTGAGGAGGCGGGCATACCCCGCGGTGTCATCAATGTGGTGACCACCAATAAGGCGGCGCCCATTGGCGAGCTGTTCTGCAAAAGTCCCGATGTGCGAGGCATCTCCTTCACCGGCTCCACTCAGGTGGGCAAACTGCTGTTCCGCAACTGTGCGGATGGGATTAAGCGCGTCTGCCTGGAGCTGGGCGGCAATGCGCCGTTCATTGTCTTCGATTCGGCCAACGTGGAGAAGGCCGTCGATGGTGCGATGGCCTCTAAATTCCGCAATTGCGGCCAGACCTGCGTCTCGGCGAATCGCTTCTTTGTGCAGGAGGGCGTCTACGACAAGTTTGTAGCGCAGCTGAAGCAGCGCGTCGAGGCCCTCAAGATTGGCGATGGCAAATCGACTGATGTCCAAATTGGACCCCTCATCAATCAAATGCAGTTCGACAAGGTCAGCGGATTTGTGGAGGATGCGCGCGTCAAGAAAGCCAACATTATTGTGGGTGGCAAGGCACTGCAGGAGTTTGGATCACTCTTCTATGCACCTACTATAGTCACGGATGTGCCCGCGTCGGCGCAGCTCTACAACGATGAGGTCTTCGGACCAGTCGCCTCTATTATCAAGTTCAAGGACGAGGCGGAGGCGGTGCAGAAGGCGAATGATACAAGGCGTGGACTCGCCGGCTATTTCTATAGTGAGAATCTGCAGCAGGTGTTCCGTGTGGCCAAGCGTCTGGAGGTGGGCATGGTCGGTGTCAATGAGGGCATCATATCCGCACCGGAGGCACCGTTCGGCGGTGTCAAGGAGTCGGGCGTGGGACGCGAGGGTTCCCATCATGGCATCGATGACTATGTGGATATTAAATATATTTGCATGGGCAATCTCAAATACGATTGAAATTCCTACAAATGCCGCACGCTAAATATAGCCTTAAGTTGCAGTCTTCCACTAGATAAATGCTTGTTTCTTGTGTAAATTCACGCGGTCTCAAATTTGAAATATATATAATAAATGTGCACAAAAAATTAAGGTAACGGTCTTTTTTGATGGAAAATCAAGATATATATTTAAAAAATTGCAGTTTTCCGCAAAAAAAAAGGAACTTATCTATTCTAATTTTAATGGATGCTAAATGTGCGCAAATGCTTGTTCTATTCATTTTTTAAATACTTTTTTACAATATTAATTAAAAAACGTTTTTGTTTGTTGTTTGCTTACCAACACTCGAAAAGTCAGCCGACCGCCACAATTCAAAATTAACGATGCTGCTCCACAGTTAACATAACATCGTTTTGTATTTGTTAACATTGAATTTTAGTGAGTTGTGCATGCGTGCGCATGGTCACACTGTGTTCCCTACTGTCTACACAAGTGCTGATTTGCTTCCAAGTGCGATTTTTTTGTTGAAGCAATGTCTGATAAAATTGTAAGTAAATTGTTAATACCTTTTGGTCGAGTGACATTACTGCAGTTGCTCTGTAAATGCATATTATGTGTAACACAGTGTGCACATGGGGCATTTCTCTAGCGCACAGCCGCTGCAAATGCGCCAGCTAAAAACGCCGGCAAGTAAAATTTTTTTTATTTGTCAGCGTTTTGTTGTTGTTGCTGCCACAAAAAGTGAATTTATGTTTTTAATGCAAATATATTATTTGATGTTTAAAGTGGGTGATTATCAATTGGCGAGTGCATAATGCTTTTAAGTGCACATTTGTTGTTGCCACAACGACGCCGGAAAGGCAGACAGGCAGAGACAGACTCGGACACGGGACAGACACACAAACAAAGGTACAATGACTTGTAGATTTTAGCAGCAGAAGCAACGACTACAAATGTGTTAGGGTAACGGAGTGCGGGGAGAGGGCGGGGAGAGTAAAAAAGTGGCATTTTTTGTTTGGCATCGTTTCTCTCTCTTTTTGGCACACGTTGCACATTTATTTACATTTTGTAAATATTGCCAAAAAAAAAAAAAAATTCGTATTTACTTCCTGTGCAGCAGTCAAATGTGCACTGGCATGTTGTACAGTTCAATTCGTTAATATTCGAAGCCTTCTAGGCTAAACCAAGTAGCTCTGGCTACGCTTAAATGAACAACAAGCACAACCGATTGGCATCAGCAACAACCACATTTGCAACATGGCCTGCGCACCGCTGCTTCTGGAACAGTTTATATACAAGAAGCGCAATTTCGTGTATGCCTTTGTGCGCCATCGTCTTTTTGTGTTATGTAAACAATCGGTGTGCAATAGATCATTATGCTATTCTACAAAATTAAAATGAAATATTAATTTACTAATTTGCATTTTTAATAATTTTGATTTGATCGTAGCTAATACGTGTGCAGTCTGCAGAGGGCATCAAGCGCGTTGAGATCTCGCCAAAGTCGAATCTGAAGCAACTCTACGATGTCGTACAAAATGCACTCAAAGTCGATGGCTTTGGCCTGTTCATGGAGCGCAATTTTGCCACAGAGCTGCAGGCCAGTGGCTCCCAGCTAGTGAGCACCATACTCAAGCATGGCGATATGTTATATCTGAAACAAATGGCGGGCACTTCAACACGCGTAAGTCACTCAGTTTGAATGTATGTTGCACCTCTATTAACTTTAACCTGTTTCAACTGATAGCGCACGAGCACGACGGCTATGGAGAATTTGACTTTTAGGAGCGCCGGCCAAGTATCCAACGAGAAGAGCAGTAACAGCACACGTCCCACTAATGATGTGATCGAGGATGCGGTGGATCAGCAGCTGCTCAAATCAAATGGCACCATCAATCGTGAGCGCGATGCGAAGCTGTAAGTTGAGCTTCAACTGAGCTTTCACTGTATTTGAATAAAATATGTACGTGTATCTAATAATGTCGCTGTCACAGTTGTCATCACAATGCGAATGGGCGCTGCGTGCATTGCTCCCCGTTGGAACCGTACAACGAGAACTATCTCAAGGAGCACAATATCAAGCACTTGTCGTTTCACTCGTATTTACGCAAGCAAACTTCGGGCATGGACCATGGCAAGTACTTTGTGTTCGATGATATCAATTGCCGCATTAAGCCCGGCTGTCGGGAGCATCCGCCGTGGCCCAAGGGCATCTGTTCCAAGTGCCAGCCGTCGGCCATAACGCTCAATCGTCAGACATATCGGCATGTGGATAATGTCATGTTTGAGAATACGAAAATAGTGGAGCGCTTTTTGAACTACTGGCGCACCACCGGACATCAGCGCATGGGCTACTTGTATGGCACCTACGAGCAGCATACGGATGTGCCGCTCGGCATACGCGCCAAGGTGGCTGCCATCTATGAGCCGCCCCAGGAATCATCACGTGACTCGATCAATATCTGTCCAGATGAGGGCGCCGACGAGGTCGATGCTGTGGCCAAAGCCTTGGGACTTAAAAAGGTGAATGTCTGTTAAATTTCAGTTTGAATTGAATAATGATATTGTTTCTTTGACAGATTGGTTGGATCTTTACGGATCTTATAACGGAAGATGCCAGTGCGGGCACTGTAAAACAAATACGCGGCATTGAGACCCACTTTCTGACCGCTCAGGAGTGCATATCGGCGGGTGAGCTGCAGAATCGTCATCCGAACCCTTGTAAATATGCCACAAACGGCACCTTTGGCTCCAAATTTGTAACCATTTGTGTGACTGGTGAGTGTAGTAAACAATATCTTATCAATGGCTTGAATTGTAGCTTATTATATCTGCTATTCTTTGAACAGGTGATCAGACCAAACAGGTGCACATGGAGGGCTATGCTGTGTCCGCTCAGTGCATGGCTCTAGTGCGTGATAATTGTCTGATACCCACTAAAGATGCACCCGAATTGGGCTATGTGCGTGAATCGACCGATAAACAATATGTGCCGGATGTTTTCTACAAGGTATTTAATAATAGACTTATGTACATTTATGAAATTAGTGTTTCGCTGGCTAAACAGAAAATGATTTCTTTGTTATTCGTTTGAGAAAGTTTGACTATAATAATATCGAATAAGTTTGTCAAAAAATAGTTTGAGGAACAACGTTTAATGAAAGTTTCGAAATTACATTTTGCACATAAATAATTTAAATGACATCTTGTTCTGTTCTCCACATATGCATATATTTGTTTAAACATTTATGTATATAGACATCAATAACATTCGGTTTTTTGGCACTTTCATTCATGCTGATTTCTAATTTTCATTTTATGATAATCTGCTCTTGGCTCATGCCTCGTTTATATTTACTTTGTACTGCTTATCATTGCTCTGGTAACCCACTAAAATGGGTAATCTTACGATCCTGCCTCCATTTGCATACTTTTATAGACACTTATACACATAGTACATACAGCCATAACACAAATACAATTTGCAACTTTGATCAATTTCTTAAGGTTTACATAGTTTCATTTTAGCAACTGGCTTGACGGCAAAAATAAATTAAATCACTTGAAGAGAGCCTTATATAAGTTTAAAGTACATTTTTAAATTTCAAACTGTTACGAATTCTCAATTTTATATCACATTCAATATTTCCTTCACTTATCGTATCGCAAACTTTGCAAGTTTTTAGTTTTGTTGCCATTGTAATATTCATAATTTTTTATATTCATTCTAACTATCCTATAATTTAATTTAGATATCTAGTATTTGGTTTTAAAAGAAAATTAATGAGACACCCAAGGATCTGTCGATTTTCTTAAAAAATTATGAGCATTGGATCTGAGTATGAGAATTCTTTGATAGTATTTTTATTTTTAATCTTTAGTTCTTTATATTTGCATAGATGCTTAAGTTGCTATAAAAGGATTTCATTTATTTTCTTAAATATTTTGAAAACCGGTTTTTTGAAACAGGTTAATTTAACCTTATTTCTCTTAGCTTAAAGTGTATGGATTATTTTAGACAGCCAGACTTTGTTTATTCATTCTCTTTAACATTTATAAGATTATTTTCTTCATGTTATTATAACAACGAGAACGCTTTGAGCATAAAGAAATTTATACTTGATCTGCTCTCGCAAACAATCAGTTGTTAACAAATAATGTGGTCAGTTTTGATTTCTTCATCTTATAATTAGTTTCACTACAACTTTGTTGCAAGTTTTGTTTTTCTGTGCAGGTAACTTTGTAGCGCAAATCACCAAAGTGATGTTTCAAATTAAATTTAGTAAGTTTCCATTTAAAACTTATAATTAAAAATTATACTCTGTGGCTTAACCTATTTTATATTCTTGCTTCAACAATACATATATTTTTAGCTCTTATTCGGAGAATTGTTCACCCTGTAGTCAAAAGAAGCAAAGCTTTGAGATATAGTTAAAAAACATGTATTTTTATATTTCTTTCAGCATAGATCTTTCGATCTTGTCGATGGTTTATAAGTCAGAATTATATTATTATTCATATATAGGCCAAGGGCATACTCGCCATACTCCCTAATAAATTGCCATAAGTTGATTACAGGGTGTTTGCTAGTCGACTTTGAGCCGACAAACTTGCTTGTTTTTGAATATATATTCTTAAAATTCATTTAAAAAAAAAAAACCTCCAAAATGTTAAGTATTTGTGATGAAAAATTTTTATTAGAATTATTTTTTGTAAAATGATTATCAAAGTAATAATTATATTGTTTGAATTATATAATATATAGTATTGTAGAATATAATAGAAGAAACACAAATACTGTGTAATTTTAGTAATATGTTGGTAAACACAGAGCTATACCTACTCAAAGAGCTGTCATATGTTGCATTTGTTGCAACTGTTGCAACTGTTGCGCGGATTGTTTTAAAATGCCTTTTACCTTAGTCAACAGTTAGTTAGTTCGATAGAACAACTCCATTTTATTGGGAATCAAAAGTAGAACAGCTCTGTCAATGCCCGTCAGCTGTGTTGAAGCGATTGCAGTTTTGCTCAAAGCTCTGAGCCACGTGTTGTGTGTCATTGCTGCTGTTGCAACCACTTTCTCTAATAGAGACGTCATAGAGGAGTCATCGAAATCGGTTGCTGCATATCCTGTAAGAATGGCTGTTGCATTTTCTGCTGCATTCCACAAACAGTATGCAGTAATTGGTCAGCAGCAGTGCCTTTGGTTTCAAGTGATTGCTCCTGCAACGTGTCATGGCACACCTTCAGCAGATGCAACAGATTGCAGATGGCTCCAAACATTATTGTTACATTAGTAAATGATGCAGCTGAGCACCTTTCTTTGCTTCCTGGTTATATCCACGTGGATTGCTGGGCAAGGGAAGGATAGAATGAAATAGGGAGTAAATAATTATAAATCCGCACTCAATTGTTCTTGAAAAATAATCATAATATTTCCTTACGGAATATATAACTAATAATAAAAATGATTTATTATTAAAGACTTAAAGATCGACTGGTCATATGGCATCTATATAACAATTGTTTGACTCGTTTATTGATGTTAATAAAGACTATATATAAATACATTGCAAATACTCTAAGCAGAGGGAAGTTATACCTTCAATTAGAATTTTAATTATCATTTCTTACCCATTTATAACACTTTGACATTCGACACGTTTACTTAATTGACAAAAAGAAAAAATAAAACAGTAAATGCCAACTGATTGGGCCAAGAATCGCCCACACACACCAACAAAACACCCACATACACGCGGAAACACACAGCTAAAGATACTTTGGACAGTCAAATCAACGACAACCGAATAACTTATAAAGCGAACGAGATGTGCTTAAAAGCGACGAATAAATGTCTTTGTTTACCCTAAACTACCTATTAAATAGAATCTTGTTTCTGTTTTGAGGAACTTCATTCAAATAAAGCATTTAGCTTCAGTTTACCCAGAATGAGAAAACGGAAAATAATTGTTGTTGTCTGCAACTGAATTTTACGCATAAAAGCAGAAATTTCACCCACGCAGACATGCTTTATTAATTTTCAGCATTGTTCATTATTGCATTGCTGTCACAACGTGTGATTGTCAACATATGAAAGGAAACGAACAAAAAATGCCTCAGTTTTCGAAAGACAAATTGCATTAAAATGAATACCCGTAATTATTTACAAGGTTGCCTTTGATTTCATGAAATTTTCCAATTGACATGGCCAATTAAACCAATTTTTGATTGATTGACCCAAATCCAATGAAGTCCAAAATAGCACACATAAGCTTGGCTGGTTTCGCGTAGTCACCCAAATTAAATGCTTATACATATATACATATACATATATATATATATTAATAAGGATATAGAGCAACAGGACAAAAATTGGAATTCAATTGGAAAAATCTGTTATTTTTTCATATTTTTAAATTATGCATTTAGTGACTTAAGTGTGGCAGACCATAGTAGGCTGATCCTCTCTCTGCACACTTTTAGTCACTGCCTTTAACAAACTATTCCTTAAACTATTGTATTATGTCTGTCTGAATTAGGATTAGGTCTATCAATAATAATAGTCAATAAATCGATTTTATGTGTATTTTTTATCTATAGTTTTCTGTTGTGCACATCAGTATTTTATGCAATGCTTATCTTCATATTATTAGTGCTTATATTACGATTTGGCTTTGCTATTTTTGTTCACATTTTCTTTATTTCTGCTGCCCTTTAAAATGATGTGAATTATGCATTAGCAAATATGTACCGTGTTGTGTTTTGTATATAACGTATACGCCACATTTACCCAGTGTTTCTGCCTTTTCACATCTCTCTTTCGCTTTCTGCGTTTTCCCGCTCTAATATTTATGCAAATTCACAAATCGAAAAAAATGACACATGTGCATATTTCCAATCTTAAGGAATATATAATCCTAATATGTATTTTATAACCGGCGGTAATCAGTGTAACCTTCACAGTTTATCATGATTTTCTCAGCTGTTTGATCAGAGTTCACAAGAAATGTTCTTGTCTGTCGCCTACCATTAGATAATATTGTTTAAGCAAACATCAGCGCTTTAATCTTGATTGTTGTGGCTTCCATTTAGCCGAGTTGATGAATTTGTGTGGGTATCCCCTTTTTTCTCTCCCTTTCTCTCTAGCAAACTGTTGTGCTGAGTATTATTTTGTTAAGTGTTCCTTGAAAAAGAGAGATTTATCGCATTCAACACAGCAAAGGGGAAGCAATGTACATGGTGGCTTTTGTCTTATCAAGCATATCTTTATACCTTCAGAGTGCATCTGCTTATTAATATTCAACTAACTTTTTTTTTAACAAATTGGTTGTAAAAACGCACACGCAAAATGGTGTAGAAAAAAAGGGTATTTCAGAATGTTGTTGCATGTAATTTTATCAAATGAGGATTGTTCCTCATGAATGTCCCTGATTTACCAGATTACCTGCCTGGTAAACCTACATAAACATTATTAAACCGTTGTAATATTTACATATATGATGATAACCGGAAACTTGACTGCCAAGTAGCCAACATGGTTGGGTCACTTCAAGCGCGGGCAAATGGCTTTTTGAATAATTAGCACGTGTGCTTATATTCCTGCAATTTGCGGCTCAAACACAGACAGCTCCCCAATGAAATTTAAAAGTTTCCCGCAACCAAAATATCAATAGGTGACGAGGGTGCTCGACTACGAGATACCTTGCAGCCAGTCCTGGCATACATATCTTTGTGTTATATATTATTATAATAATATATGGAAGTTGAAACTTGTTATATTTACCTAATCCATTAATTAAGGCCAAGTATTCTACTTTCATAATAGCTTTAGAAGGCAATGCCAATTACTAAATGAAAATGTGTTGTATATTTGCTAATAGTATTTTTACATAATGCAATTTGTTGGTAACAGGCACAACGCCAGTGTCCTTCAATTTAACTTGTTACAAATGGGCATATAGAAATTGTGCAAAAGGATGTAACAGGAATTATTTTTCACATAGGTATTCAAGTTTGGTCCACGATTTGTCTATATGATGGAATCTCAATTTTTGAATTGTGAGTTCTTATTTTCCATTCGCTGATCAAGCTTAAATCATTTTTTATTGATAATCTTCATTGTAGCCGGGATTTACATGAAAGCTATTAAATCCACAATTTCAAAGAAATATATTTCTAATAAGGCATAAATATATCTTGACATAACATTTATAAACTGCAAAAATGAGATCAGTTCGGTTGAGCAACTCGGAAGTTTGGGGTATCTCCTAGTCGAGTTTTAACTTGTTAGTTCACATAATATTAGCTTACCTTATCCTGTTGCACTTTTGAATTGCCTTTTTCTCAAAGTTTCTTTAGAATTTGCATGTCCTTCGTTCCTTCACCAAGTCGACTTTTTTTTTTCTTACATGTGTAAATTGTGTTTTATTGTCAGAAAATTGTTTGCTTTTTTGTTTTTGTATTTTTCTTTATTTATGCGAATCACTTGATCGGTAGGCGTCTTGTTGTATTTGGTATTTGGTTGTTGTTAGTAATTAGTAGTTAGTTTAATTCGTTTTGTGTGCACTTGCAGGATGTAAACGCTTTCAATATTTTACTCTCACTTTTTGGACTGACTTTCTTTTTGTTTGGCTCCCGCTTTTCCACTGGCTGCGGCTGCTGCCGTTGCTGTTGCAACTCCTGCTTTTTCTCTAGTTCTTGTTGTTGCTTCTGCAGTTGTTGCTGTTGCTGGCTGTGGCGTCGCACTTTGAATGCAGCATTGCTTAGCTCCCAGCTGCTGTTAAATACGCGGGGCGGCTTCGTATGCTGTTGCTGATAGGTTGGCGCTGCACTGGCCAGGCCAGCTGATGGCTCTAAAGTATCTGATGTAACCGCGGTGGAGGCAACTGCCGTCCAAAACATTGTTATGCTTGTTATGCGCTGATAAATGTTGAAACGATTAGAAATACTTCTCCCCGCTATGCTGTGCATGTTAACAGGCGTGAGTCCCACGTTAAAATCAATTAAAAAGGACTTCCAGTCTTGTGTTCTGGTTACTAATTTAATTACAACTGGCTCTGCGTCGCTCACTCTCGAACTGTGCTCTGTGCGTGCGTCTGTATCCTTCAACGTTTCGTTTGCAAGTGCAATCCTGGTTAAACACAGCTCGCTCTCTTATATAGCAGCAGGCAACTCGCAGCAGGCAACTCGCAACTTGCAACTTGCAGCTGGCAACTGGCAATGTGAAGAGCGCAAGAGCCATTTTTCCGCAGCCATCGCGCTCTTAGGAAACATTCATGTTTTTTTCTAATCGCTTTTACTGGGATGCGCTCAATGTCAATGCCAAGTTGTACTGCAACTGGGCCCCCTTTTTCTATCTGTATCCATTTTTACTGCTTATAGCCAAGGCTTGTCTCTCTAACTGGATTTGGGCTTTACGTATTTACGCGTTTTGCATTTTCCGTGCAGTTGTTCCTGGGTTCAAGTATTGAAAACGTGCGTCTGCATTTACTAATCACATTGTGCATCCATTTTTATCTTAAAATTTGTCGAGAGTATGTGAGCCATCTGATGGGAAGTTGTATACAAGAAAGTGTTTTTCTCTAAGCACATCAAAAGTAAACTTTAATTATACGTTGAATCCATGAAAATTACTTAAAATTTCTTGTTTTAGATTTGCATTTATATGCGATATTTGTTTTTGTTGCATCTTTTAGGCGCGGAGAGCTGTGACCAATTATCATTTTAGGCCAATTGTATGTTTTCACAAACTTTTATATAGATATCCAACTCTATACATTTTTTCTCTGAAACAAAGTTTCAGTTTTGATTGCCTTTCGATTTAAGATGGATTAAGAAAAAGACACCAGAAGCTTTCCAACATTTCTAAGTCACACACACACAAACACACACACATGCGTACACGTGTAGAAGCGTTTGAAGTTCTGTTCCTATTTCTGCGTATTTAAGCAATTGAATTTCCTCGCTTCCGGCTTCTTTGGAAAAGCTAATCAAGCATTCAAAGTGTGACACACGAGAGACTTAAGGAAGTCAATCAATTCTTAATAAGATATTAATAGTATTTTCTGCGCATTGAATGGAAAATCGAATTCTCTGAAACACACTATCCATAAAAAATAAAAAAAGCACTCAAGACAGCTAGAGAAGAAATTAATTGTGTACACCTAAAGACTCATCAGTGCAATTGTAACAGGAAGGATTATCTCGAGTAGATATTGTGGAATATTATGACTTTAGCCTATCACATAACAATATGTAAAGAAGATACATTTCTCTCTTAAAACTAATCTTTCGATTGTTTTCTTGGCAGCTATATAATAAACTGCTTTGATGCGGTCGGCTTCGACGATCTTGGTGAAGTAAAATGAATTTAGACAAGATATTAACAAATAAAACTTGTTTCAAATGAATCCTAAAGAACAATGAATAATTCGTTGTTTACCACAATAAGTATTATTACATTTTTTTTTCTAAAGGTTTCAAATTTATAATTTCAGTATAGCTTTTTTAAATTGTTTATTCCGTATCTTTGCTGGTATTCACAGGCCGTGGTCAGCCAATACGCGAAACCAAATAAAAGAGTGCGCTTTATTTGAATGTCGCTCTTGACGTATGAGCTACCCCTGTCTCTCTCTCTATCTCTCCCTATCTCGCTATCTCCGTCTCTCTGTGTATCTGTTTCTAAGCTGTTGAATCTGATAGAATTTGCACCGACTCACATGCAGCACGAGTTTGAGGTCAGTTCTGAGTGTGTGCGTGTGTGTGTGCGTGTTGGTGTTGCCAGGCGGATGTGAATGACGCTCGCTTTGTGACCTAATAACCCTGAAAGCGTGTGCTGCTGCCCGCCTTCTACTGGGCGAGCAGTGGCTGTCTCGAGTACCTGGTGGTTAGCTTTATAGCCTTGTCGTCTTGTTTGTTGCTGGGCCAAGTAAACAGGTTGCGAAAGCTTACTGTGCGGCCCCAGCCGCACTTATCGAATGTAGGTCACTGGGTCACAGCCAAGCGACAGGATGAGCATAAAGCTCCCATTCACCAAACAAACTTAAATGCCATATATATTTTTTGTAATCTCTTTATTAATTGCTTTCGTTTTTGCAGGAAAAGGATCAATATGGTAACGAGGTGCAGCGTTTGGCGCGTCCACTGCCCGTGGAGTATCTGCTGGTGGATGTGCCCGCCTCTACGCCGCTGCAGCCGCAATACACATTCACAGAGTATGATAAGCGGCAGGCGTTCCCCATTGAGAATCGCTATATTGATGGCCAGCTGCAGGACTTCAATGCGTTGAGCAGCTATCTCTCAGCCTGGGCTGATGACGAGTTTCTCGAGGCCATCTCTGACTTTCATTTGCTGGTTTATTTGTACAAAATGGATATGCTGCCGCTGCGCCAGCACATGGGACCGCTGCTCGAGGCGGTGCGCGCAAGGAATCCCAATAAGGCGGCCGATTTCAAAGCCGAGGAAGTCTGGCAACTGCTCGAATCCCTTGTCCAGGCCAGCTCTACGGGCAGCGGGTAAGCTACGAGAGCATGCATGACAAGAATTCCTGATTTTTATCTCTAATTCACAATTTCCTTTTGCAGCGGCACCACTAGCTATCCGAGTGGTGCAGCGACTAGCTCTGGCGCTGCGGGCTCTGATGCAATGGATCTGGATGCTAACACCTGGACGTGCAATCACTGCACATTCATTAATCGCGGCGAACTGACCTCCTGCGAAATCTGCTCCCTGCCCAGATAAGCATGATCAGCTATTTCCTCAGCGAGCGCCAGTCGTCAGCTTAGCGCGACGAAATTCTGGTGTCAAATGAAACTAAAGATTCAATCATACTTACTATAGCAGGATGCCAGGATGCAGGGTGGCAGGAATTTGGGATGTGGCAGCACAAGCAGATGTCGCATGCCACGCGCGTTCTCTATAAATATAATATTGTATAAGAATTTTATAAAAAATTTAATTTATTTTTAAATAAATTTAAATTGTTGAGTGTACTACAAAATATAATGTGTTTTTTTTAAGGAGAAAATTGAGGAAAAAATAAAAATCCTGCGTTATTTCGCGAACTATCCTTCAAATATTGCTTGACCTGTAGTTTCGAATTAAGCTTAAAAACGGACGATTGTCCTTCAATCATATTAAATAAAATGACCATTTTTAAATGTGGTGAGTTCTGTGTCAAACAATTCGAATTGTCAGGGCTATCATCTGTCCAAAGGACGTCTAAATCGTTCGTGATTAGAAGGATTTTGTGATTTCTGCTCATTTCCATTCGCTCGAGCTACGTCCTTCGAAAATTTTTAGGGCCTATTTTGTTCTAACCTAAAACCATTGATTAATTTAAACTATGCATTTTAAATTTTACCTTAAAAATATACGTCAATATTTTCAAAGCTTGCTAATTATATCGCTAATTTTGATGCCATTGAGAATTGAATTGAATCAATTAAATGAATCGTACATTTAACCCAATAAAAAACAATTTTAATTATTTTTGTTCAATTTATTAAAATATGTTATTCCATTTGTCATATATTCTGTATTCTGTAAAGAAAAATTATCTTAAATTTTTGTATAATATCCAAAGCTACACATTTATTTGAGTCACAAATAAGAACATATAAAAAAAATGTTGCATTCTTTCAGCCTTCAGAAAATTTTCTTTTGATGAAACTCTTCATGCTCCATTCACATTTGCCACAAGACTTGTTTACGATGATTTATATATCTTACAAATCAATTGAGAGCTCCGAATTATATAGGCCCATAAGTTTACAATCCGCACGCCTTCTTCTCTGACGTATATACAGTGTTGTGGAACGCTAAAGCTCAGGAACGTTTATCTGATCTGAGCAGATTGATCTTCAGTAATGAGCCACATATCGTCCAAGACCTTCTGTATTCTTCTCTTTAATTTCTTTTCATCAGCCATGTAACCATACTTGCGGATTATACCTAATTTAAGGTGATAGCTTCAAAATTTTTTCAAATAAAATAATATTTAAAAAAAATTAAGTTAACAGATTAACGTTGAATATTAAAATATAGTGTGTAAATCAATAAATATGGATGAGTATGTTTATAAATATTATTACTAAGGAATTCGCTTCACTTGTGACATTAGTTATTGTATTCTTTCTGTAAACTTCACTAAAGGACTAATATCGAATAATTGAATTTTCTAATTTTTTCAGTCTTCAAAAGTTTTGATTATACATAGCAACCTGGGCATAAGACTTTAGGATCCAAAACTGTTCAAGTATATTTTAACATTAGTTTTTATTTAGAAGTCAGACGTTTTGGTTATATACAAATTAAAAGTAATTTGCAGTTAAACAATTTAATTATTGGAGTGAGAGTGAGAGAAGAATGGCGCATCGCTTAATGCCTGCAGGTTCCCGATTGCGAGGACTTTTCAAATTAAATCGAAAGGTGAAATATTTATTTCGAAGAAATATGATTGATATTTTTTAATAAACGATTTTAAATTATAGCCAAATTTCGATAAAACGGGAACGGTGCGGCGTAGCAGTGTATTTGTCGGTAAGTTCTGCCATAATTGCATAATGTATTGGAATTATTATGGAATTCGTTTTACTAATGGACTATTTATAGAACCTTCGGTACCATGGTTGGAGAAACCAAGTATTGTGTTCTCAAGCAGTGCTCTTAAACGTCACTGGGGGGTAAGTTCTGACCAATTATTTGTGTTGATTGCTGATTGTACATCTATTAGTAGCCCAAGAAATTTTACCACACTTATTCAAAATTTGTCTTTAAATGGGTAAAAGTTAAGATTAGTGATGTGCCATTTACATATTATGGAAATATGTGTGGCATATCTACGCCTGACGATATCTACGCCTATAAACCGCGTTCTTAGTGACAGTTCAAAGCACTTTTCTAAGAAACAAACATACAATTTACACATTTAGATACGAGTATTATTAAAAAGGATTATGTGTGCTAGAAAAAAAGGTATTGCTAATGTGTTTATTGTTTTGTTTACTAAGAAATGAAATCATATACGTATTACTGTTTCTCTATACAAAACTATTTATGCGCAATTTACAAGTACGAGTACGATATTTGATAGAAAATTATAAAAATGTACTAAGTGTTACGTAATTGTGTATTGGAGCAAATGCATGTAAGAAAATACTTCGATAAGACTACAATAATATATGTATATATATAGGTATATTTTATGTGAAACATTTATTGAGTTATATATATATGTATGTATATGTATATGTATATATATATATGCATGTGTATATATATATATATATATACAGAATATTATTTATTTATGTATTAACTGTTACGCAGCGACAATTAGATGAGTATTTGGGTTATTGTGTTTCTTGTTCGCAACTAAACTAAATACCAACTTATGTGTGTTTGATGTGTTTGTGTGTGTGTGTGTGTGTGTGTGTGTGTGTATACTATTTAGGCGCTAATCAACACTATAGCTAAGTATATAAGTTATATATATATATTTGATAATAATTTAATATATGCATGTATGTATGTTTATTGCATAAGAAGCTAAAAGTTAACCAACTTTAGAAACAGCATTTAAAGAACTTCTGTACTTAATATTCAGTAATTATTATATAACAGTTGTCTCTATTTCTTTTTTACTGCACAATATACATAGAATATAAATATTAATTGTATTTTTGTAAGTACAACTTGCAACACAAATTCTACGCATTTTTGTTTTTGTTTGTAATTTTTCAAAATTAACTACACACACACACAAAGTTATATGCCATATGCTATATACATATTATATATATATATATATATATATATATATATATATATATATATATATATGTATATAATGTATATGTGTATGTATATATACCAGTATTATTTTTATCATGTACGCACTTTAGCATTAAATTGGTTCATTATCCAACACTGCACTTAAGAACTAGTGTTAGCATCAGTTTGGGGATTTCTTTTATATGCTCCACGAATTTATCTGAAAATTCATGCATACATCTCGACTTTTGAAATATATATATATATATATATATGTGTGTATATGGGTATATGTATGTATGTATTGTGCGTATGTCGCATATCATTTTTTAAAGTGTTTCTCAGTATCAAAGTTATATACTACTATGTTTGTAAGCATGTATATTGCTTACACGTCTTATTTGTGTTGTTCTATTATTTTTAAATATTTTGTTTTGAGATGTACTTAACTTTCATCTAGAGCATATGCACTCCAAAACGTGTATTGTCCACATAAATAGTTGCTTTCATATTTGTTTCAAATAGAATAGATTGCTTCGCGTTTCTTTTAGATATCTTTCAAAATACTCCAAATTTAAATTAATTTTCAAATATTCTTGAACCATTTTGCGCTGGCGACATGCACTTTGCTGTGATAATGTAAACAGTGTTAATAGCGCTAAGTGTTTTATATACAAATCAAAATAAATCTTAACAAAAATAACGAATTTTTACGAAGTAAAGAAGTAAAGAAAAAAATACTTTACAGCGTGTTAAGAGTAGAAATGTTAATCGCAGAGCCGAAAGAGAGGAAAACTAAACAAAATATTAGCAAGATACATGGTGTGCTACAAACAAAAAAAAGAATAGAAGTTATTAGATGTTTGTTGAAATTGGATGTGGCAATCATTTGAAGTACAATACATGACGAGAAACGAGCGTACATTATACGGATAGTACACTGTATTATACAAAGTCTAATATGACGGTGGTTTCTAATTCAACTATCAACTAATTGAGTAACTATTATATTATTATTATATATTATATGCAGTTATAACTAAGCTTACATACTACACACTTCTTGAGTTGGTTTTATATAGATTATATTTATGTAATATGTAGATACATTAATTAATTGTGTGCATTGTACAGCAAAAAATGCGTGCAAAATAATTACGACAAATTACATTACTTTAATTATTTTTAATTTTCTGGTTTTGTTTGGTTTTTTTTTTTTTTTTGTTTAAATCAAATGCAAATTTTGTTGATTTTGAAATTTCAGTTTTTTGCTTTCACATTTTCATTTATTTCGCTTTTTAAATGTTGAGAAATTTGTTGTTCAGCATTTTGAGGGGTTTTTCGTTTTTGTTGTTGTAGCTAAGAGTAAATACAGAGTTTACATTTCATTTTGTATATATAGAAAGAGTTATATATTTGGGTTGTCTAATCATTCGCTACAAGTATAGAGCGAGATACAAAGCGACAGGATTTTTCATTGTTGTATATAAATCGATCATTTATATCCTGTTGCACGCTATATATACTAAATAAATAATAAAAGTAATAATAATAATCAAAATTGTTTAAACATTACCAAATTTAATATAGGTTGGCTGCAAATTGTTACATCAAATACATATGTACGTATTCATATGTACGTGTTTCCAATATATATATATATATATATATATATATATATATATATATATATATAAGAGCATATACCATATACGTCTATGCCTTGGTACAAACTAATTCAATTCAACTGGTTTTATATTGGGTTTTTGCTTATGGCCTATTAGATATACGTGACAACTTAGCACTAGAACTTTAATTCTTTACCACTTTTATAGTTATCATCATTTGTTTTTTACTTTTTAATTCTTTCTTCTTTCAATATAATGCACTTGCTTATCGTTTATTAGTGTTAAGTTCTTCTTCGTGAGAAACAAATTTACAACAGTTAGAAGATCCTTTTCTGCTTCTTTTGCATTGCATTGCATTAATCAGAGGTCGCAAAACTAATTACATACCAAAAATAAATAGTATTGTATATAAACTATGGGAAAACTATGGGTTCAAAGGATGTTTGTAATGGGTTCAAATCGTGATTTAGTTAACAAATCTTAATCCAACACGCTTTAATTTTTCTTTTTAGTTTTAGTTCATTTAAAATTCCTCGTTGCAAAAGTTGTACTGATCATTACGTCTAACAAGTTTTCCAAATTAATAAATATCTACCATCAGCTGTACTTTGCTCTATGAGCTCACATACTTTACTTTTCATCAATATATAGATTCAGAGCGTTACAAGTAAAGCCAAAATAGTTACGAAATATACATTTTCATATATATATTTTTGTATATATATATATATAACATATAAACTATATATGTATATAGGTAGTGAAAAACTGATGGTTCCACAACTGAAGTTTGTTTTGTTAATCAAAGGTTTAATGAACTATATTTTTTTTGCGCTTTTAAGTTCTTGTTTTTTGTTTTTGTCATGTCAATTAGTTGCTGGAAGACGAGTCTAAGTTAAGTTTTTCAATATGGTTTTTTTCAAACCAAGCTAAAAAGAATTTGTATGGCTTTACTCACCTCTTTAATAGTTTTTAGGCATACTGGCTAAGCAGCTTCCATGTAAAAAGAAATCCTCTGCTGTTTATTTTTTTTAGTAAAATTCATCATAAAATTGAACTTGGTGTTGAATTCGTTCGTTACGTTTCATATATAATATATAAGTTATGTACCTTTATGTATGTTCTTATACATGCCAAAATATAGCTCATTATAATTGATATGTGACGAGCTGTTAAAAATTATGTTCCTTGTTGTTATATAAGAAAATGTTATTTTCTCTTCGTTTTTAAATATACATTTTGTTTATATAATTAATTTGCTTCTGTTTTTTTTTTTTAAGGTATATTGATTTTGCTTAACACTTAAAATAGTTTTAATTTACGTTTTTTTATATTATATAAATTATTATTTATTTGCTTTTGTCTTTGATTTCGTGTTACTTTGTGAAATAAGCATAAGAAGCGTTTTATTTCGAGCTATAAATATAATATATAATTTTAATATTTAGCAATTAATAAATAAATATCATTTGTTGTACATACATATATGCTTGTAAACTGTATATAAGAAATTATGTACTCATCTGCATTGCTTTTAAATTATCCAACACGTTTTTGATTTCACTTAAATTTTAACCTTAAACCTACATTTTTTCCTTATACCATTTTTGCATTATCATAAATTAAATTTTATGTTGTTGTAGCATTTTGAAGGTTTTTATATAAGTTGTATATTTAATAATTGTTTAATTATAGTTTTTATATTTTCCGAAGAAAATAATTGCTTTTATTCTTTATTGTTTACGTTGTTTTTTCTTTAAGTTTGGTAAATTTTGGTTTAAGAGCTTTGTTTAGTTTTTGTTTTTTTGTTTTTTTTTTTTCGTTTATACTTATGGTTGCTTGAGTAGATAGAGTATTGATTTGTGACTATGCACATAAATTGACTAGCTTGTTAAGAGTATTTTTGTGTATGTCTGCATGTGTGTGTGTGTGTGTGTGTATAATATTCATAAACATAATCAAAAGGCCAAAAATAATACGCAAGAAGCATTAATAAATAAAAAACAAACAAATTGTTAACTAAAATCTAGAGTTAAGAGAGTCCATAATTAAATGTTTCAATTTGGGTATTTATAAAATGTAAATCACCGGATTTCTGATCAAATTTGGCTAAAATCTGTTGGTCCTCATTAGTCACTCAAATCAACTACGTTTGTTTTTTTGTTTTTTTTTTTTCATATCAAAAATCGTTCGACTTTGGGTATGTATTTTGTGAATCGATCGAGAGAAATTTTTGCTCAAAGAACAAGACACTTTTCAATTTTTTTTCAATACGAATGATTTTTCGTCAAAAATTTACTGGTGTGTCGTCAATCTTTCAAAGTGATATGCGTTTTGTAGCTTCACAACAACAGTTCATGATGCACCCTAGGGTTATGAAATGTTTTCTTTTATTTATTTTTTTTAAACTTCTACATACTCTTAGTAAGTATTTTGCCACATTTTGAGACGCTGTCTTATATATATAATAGATAGATATATACATATAATATATTTAAAGGTATGTGTTTTTGGTTTTTTTCTCTTTTCGTTTTTTTGTTTTTGTTTCTCTAATTGAATATATCACGGTCTTGCTAAATATCGCTGTATGCATGTAAATATCTATAAAGTTGTCACTTGACTTTAGTTCTATATATGTTATGTATATTTGCTTCATCATTTTGTTGTATACCGAGTAAATGAAAGAACATCAACTAGACAATATACCTATATAGTATATATATAGATTACAATAGCTATCGCTTGCCAACTCTGACATTGACTATCCTTAAGAGTTCTGATTATAATTTTCTCAGTTTGTTTTTTGTTGTTTTTTTTTTTTTTTTTCTTTTAGGTAATTTGGTTTACGAATACTGACACTTGAATGCTGAAACACAGTTGATCTTATTGTCATATGATGTATGCATGTATGTATATATAATGCTATATAAATGGGGGAATTTGTTTAGTTTTACGTAGTATACTGTGAGAAGATGATATGGATTGCAATTCGAGATTATTGCATTCTCTTAAAGGTTGTTGTATATAGAGTATAGTAGTTTGTATGTATATAGAATTTTACGCAATTGACTACTTGAACATGTTCCATCATGCTTTTTAAATATGTATGGAGTACTATATAAGTTTAACCTACAAGTACGAAAAGAACACAACTAATTTATAGTGTATGTGTGTGTGTGTGAGTGTGTGTGGTTGGTTGGTTGGTTATAAATGGTTTTATATATTACAGCAAATTTGGTCGTATAACCGACGATATATTTTTTGGTTTGTTTGTCGTATTGGTAATGAGTTATTTAAAAATGTCGCTACCACAAAATTAATAAGAGATAAGAATATATAATCGAAAAACTGAACAATTCAATTGGATATCTATAGTTGTTTTTTTTTGTTTTTTTGGTTCTTATCAAAAATTATATGTATATATTTACCGATATATATAAAGAGCGCTATATATGTTCTGTTACTAAGTATATATATCAAAATTCGCAAGCTACTACTTGGGATTACATAGTATTCATTTTTAAAGGGTATCAAAACATTTCATTAGACAAATTTGAATTTTTTTTATGTTTTTTAATTTGTTCAAATTGAGTTTTCAGACTGTTGCAACGGTTTACCAAGTACAAAACTAATTTTTTTTTTGGCGACTTTTATCACTTTGAAAATGAAGTTTAAAAACCAAAATGAATGTACAAAGTAGAACATTGAAAATATGTTGGAAGCAATTCCAATTCGATAAATGTATGAAAAAAACTAGAAAACAAATCAACAGTTGAAAACGTTTCCAAACATTTTTTTTTGACTACGAGTACGAGTGGAGTGCTAAAATACTAAAGCATTTATTGACTTCTTGCGTTGAGAAATGGAATAATATGCAATCATAAAAATATCAAATATTTATTCAAATTATATATAAAAAAAAAAATAAATTGTATATTACGTATATTTAGATAAATGAATATAATATATATAACAATGACTTTTGTGTAAAATAAGATGCTGGTAAATTAACAAAGTGTAGGCCATGAAAAAGCATACAAATTATCGGGACTAAATTCAAACTTATGCTCTGTATATTATATATATAAAATGCTGAGATCGAAGCAATATATTATTATTGTGTGTTTTTCTGTTTTTCTGTTTGTATGTTTGTATGGGGAGGAGGAGTTGTGAAATAATATTTATAAGTACTTGTTTTGAATGGCACCGAATAACTTTGTGGAATGTGTGTTAAAGTTCTTAAGCATAAGTAACAAATAAATAAATAAAGGGAATAAATTACTAAATTAGTTTTGTATATTTGTATGTGTGTTTGCTAAATAGAATTATTGAACATTACGCATCTAAAGTTCAGCCCAGCAATATGTGTTATAGATTTGCATGATGTATATAAATATCTTTGGTATGCGAAACATGAGACGAAATCAATTTGTATTATTTTTTGTTTTGTTTTTTGTGTGGGGAAGGGAATAGAGTTATTGGTATGCAGTTTGCTGTACAAACATCTTGAACAGAACTAGTTATACCCAGGTATACATTGAACATACATACTCACCTCCAAAATGCAACCAGACACAAACAAATACATAAGTACTAAGAAACAAGAACACAAAACAATCTTCACCTGGTGGCAAATGCGACAAACAACAGCTACACATTGTTGATGATAAGTAGAGGTGGAGGAGAAGAGCACAACGTTTACGAAAGTACAACAAAATAAATAATAATAATATGTCAAAATTATATTTATAAATAATATATATATATATAATTAGATATATATATATAAATGAATAAACTATAATACGGGTCTAGTAAATGATAATAAAAAAACACAAATTATAAATTGTTTTTATTTTTTTTTGTTTTGCTCGATTCATTAGCAACATTTTTTGTTTTTGTTTTTGTTTTTTGTAAACCAGTTTTATTAAACACAAAAATTACTTCAAATTGTTTTTGTTTTGTTTTATAATTGTTGTGTGTTGTGTACACATACATATTATCTATATATATACATACGCAAATGATTACTTTCAAATGATAACTAAGTAAATTAATTAATTAAATTAAAGTTTAAACATGCAAGCGATTCAAATGTTTATAGAGTATACAACGGCGCTCTGGCTGCTTCTGCTTCTTTTGTTTGTTTCTTTTTGTATTATTTTTCTATCATTATATAATGAAGTGTATGTAGTGTAGTGTATGTAGTATGCATTATGTATTATGTATTATGTTGTGTAGTGTATGTATTTTGTTGTCTTGTTATGTGTATAATTCAAATGCAAATGCTACAGCTAAACAATTACAAATTATAACTAAAACTAAGAGAGGGGTAGAGGAGGAATTGTGTTTGTGTTTATGTGTGTGTGTGTGTGCCATAACTACAAGTTAAAGTTTTAACTGAGTGTTAAGCTATACGCATGAGTAGAACAAATACCTAAAAAAAAATAAAATATATTAAGTTTAAGCAAGTCACAAAAAAATGAGTAACTTTTGAATAAAGAGTGTAGAGATATATGTTGAGAGAGGTTTGATTTTAAAAACAAAAAGTGTAAATTATTTTTTTGAATCTTCACTTCAGGCTTCGAACGCTGCTTGGGCCTTAAACACATATGTATGATAGAAGATAAGGAAGCGACTAAGTTAATTTCAGGGCTTAATATATATATAATATTATGTGTGGATCGCAATGAATAATAAAATACATGATGGGGGGAGGAGGAGGGGGAAGTACTCATGTGGAGAGTTTCTGTTAAGTTCACAAAAGTACAACAAAATTAAGGAAAAATATCGCAGCTCAATTATCATTTGCCAGTTTTATTATAAAGCACAAAGAAGAGAGCTTAGTTAGCACAACTGTGTGTGTGTGTGTGTGTGTGTGTGTGTGTGTGTGTGTGTGTGTGTGTGTGTGTGTGTGTGTGTGTAGAGAGAGAGTGTGTGTGATAGTATGTGTAATGTGTGTTGGTTTTGGGTCTGTTGTCTCCGTGTCTCTGTTTAACTGCTATGCTGGGTGAATTAAATTCGAGCTCAAAAATTAAATAACTAAATGATTTGTTTGTTTTGTTTTTAAGATTTTTTCTCTTTCTTCTTCTTTTCTCTGCTTTTATATTCATTATGTTTATAGTTCATTTTTTTGTTGCTTTTTTGGGAGCGGGGGGGGGGAGGTTGGGGTGCTTTTAAATGATTATTATACATATTTATATATTATTTTTATTTTTATAATACGAGAGGCTTGAGCAAAATGGTTTTGAGTTCTTTTCCCTTTCTCGCTTTTGCCGTGATTTATTTTTTTTTGTTTTTCTTTGTTCAATGAGCTTTTAATTCTGTTATGCTTTTTATAAATATGTTTTTAATGTTATATAATAGGTATTTTATGCTTTAGGTATATTTTTATTATTATGCACTAAAAATTATATAAACTGCTACAATTAAACGCAATCACAATCGGTGGTTTTTTAAATTGTTTTTTTTTTTCGTTTCTCTTTTTAGTTTTTTTCATTAATTTTTGTTTTTTGGTTTAATTTTTTTTTTGTTCAGTAAATTTATAAGATTTTTGTTTTGTTTTTTTTTTTTTTGCATGCGTTGCCTCGCCGGCTGCTCTTTTTGTTGTTGTTGTTGTTGTTGTTTCTTATATTGCTTATCATTTTGTTGTTGGTATTATTATTTAACGGGTGTGGTTCTAGCGGGTGGTGGGGAGAGCCTTAAATATAATACTTAATATGCACTCATATCATGTGTGTGTGTATGTGTGTTGTATATGTGTGTGTTTATGAGTATGTGTGTGTGTGTTCCTTTTTTGTTTTTGTTTTTTTTTTCAGGTGGCACTAAGAACTAAGTTAACCCATAAAGGTAAAACAAATTTCGTTGAGTCATGAGATTTGTGTGTGTTTGTTTGTTTGTTTGTAAGTGTGATGAGTATGGATGCAAATTACAAAGATAAAGTTGGTTAGAGAGAAGATGTAGATATAGAGATGGGGGAGCGGGGGGATGGGGGTGGATGGGCACTGCTTAGACATACATGCCCATGCCATACATGCTGCTCCAGTCGACACCCTGGAAACTGGACATATCCACATTGGCCAGCGCATAGTTTTGGTATGCAGCAGCAGCCGGATTGCCAGCAGCTGCTGCAGCCGCAGCGGCCGCATTCAATGGATTGCCAGCAACAAGGGCTGCTTGTTGGGCGGCCGCTAGGGAATGTGGATTGGCGCCCGCACCGTTAGCCGCATTGGCAGCCAGCGCAGCAGCGGCTGCTGCTGAATGCGCCTGGGAGGCAGCAGCGGAATTGGAGGCAGCCGCTGCCACAGCGGCGGCGGCATTGTGATGCTGTTGATGCTGCTGCTGATGATGTGAATGCTGCAGTCCGGCGGCGGCAGCAACGTGTGCGTGTGCCGCATTATGCGACTGCTGCTGCTGATGGGCGGCCACAGCGGCCGCATTCTGTGCCGTCTGATGCGCCTGCATCAATGCGGCATTGGCAGTGGCAGCGCTGGCGGGTATAGTATACGGGGCATATCTAAAAATAGAGGATTCAACAGCTTAATATAAATCACAACTCTAAAATATATACATATTTTTAGATTTCTATTAAAATTGCAATTAAAATTGCCCGCACATGTCGAAGTTGTTTCACAAAACTTTTATTATCTCTTTGATATCCTGTTGTCCTTTAAGGTCAAACGATTTTGTATTTCCCATCGGGAAATAAAGTGAAAATGTTGAATGTAATTTAGTTGGTTGGCTCACCTGACGCTGTGCAGCGCTGTCTGCGGATATGAGGCAAGCAGCTTGCTAAAGTTGCTCTGGTTGGCGGCCATTGTGGCAGCGGCGGCAGCGTTTTGTACTTGAAATGGATTCTGTGATATGAGTGCCGCCTGCTGTGCGGCAGCTGCGGCCGCTGGCGACTGCAGCAGCTGTGTGGGTGTCTGCAGCATGGCCAATGGATTCATGGCAGTGACTCCGCCACCGCGTGCACCAATCAATTGGCCCGGTGCCGTGGGCAGCTGAACGCCGAGGGTGCCCAGCATGATGCGCTTCTGGAGGAGCTGGGCAGCGGGTGTGACGGCCTCTTTGGGTTGTGCCTTCTTGCACTCGACCTTCTTGTTCTTGATGGTGTGAAAGTGGATCTCGCAGACGCGATCCACAACATCCTCGTTCTCGAAGGTGACGAAACCAAAGCCGCGATGGCGTTTCGTCTGCTGATCCATCAGCATTACGGTCTCCTCGACGGCGCCAAATTGACTGAAATAGGCTTTCACCTCCTCGGCGGAGGTGTCCTGCGAGACGCCGCCAACAAATATCTTTTTGGTCTTATTGGCCTGACGCGGTCGATTCTTGGGCGTGGCATGCTTCGGATCGATCTTCTTGCCATCGAGCGTGTGAATGGGCACTTTGAGCACCTTGTCCACGGTGCAGGGTTCTTGGAATGTGATGAAGCCAAAGCCGCGACTGCGCTGCAAGTTGTGACATCAGAGTGTGGGCGAGAGAGAGAGAGAGGGAGAGCGAGAGCGAGCGCGAGAGAGAGAGACGGAAAGACAAAAAACAGAGACAGAGTTTAGTTAAGTTAGTAGGTTGAGCGCACAAAATAAAGGTTAGAGGCATCGTTTACAAATACGTATATTGTATATATATATAGATATATATGGTATATTTAGATCTAAGTTTGCAAAGTGATCAGCTAATTGCAAGTTAATATAATTTGTAAATGTAAATGTTCCTACGAAACGGTTAGCAAAAGTTCAACAAAGTAAGAATCAATAATCCATCAACAGCTCAAAAAATTGATGTCACCAAATGTATTAAATATATTATTATTTAACAAAATCAAAAGAATTTTTTAAATATATTAATTGTCCGATTTAAAGTTGTGTGTTTATCAGAGATATGCAATGAATACTTTTCGAGTACTATTTATAATCACAAATACCCATTGCAGTTATCATCTAACATGTAATACCTATGTAAATATGGCCACTTGTTACGCAACGCATTTGATGTATCTTCAGGTGAATAACGACAAGAAAGTAACAAAAAATATTTATATATATGTTGACGAAGTAAATACACATCATATACATGTACGTATATATATATATATATATATATATATAAAGAGGTAAAAATATGCTCAGCTAGTAACTAAAACTTGTAACTAAATACTTTTTGCGATCGATCAATAGAATTATTCAAATATTTTATATTGTCCATCAATGAGATAATCCCGATCTAAGTATATACACAAATATTTTGAATATCAACATCAGCTTTGGCACCTCTTTCAAATAATATTTAACGAATAACACAAAGATACTTATGAGGCTTATTATGTATATATAGTATGCGATAGTAAATTCCTATATATATATGCAGCTTATATAAATATTCAGTTAGATATATATATATATATAGAGAAAGAGAGAAAAAGAGAGAGAGAGAGAGAGAGCGACAGAGTGTGTAAGAACGGAGCAAACGCAGTTACTATGCCAGTACAAATACATATACATATATATGTGTGTGATGAATCATTATAATACTCCTAAGTACGGATATTAACGAATAGCATTTGGGCTCATCCCATACAATTGCTGGTTAGTTAGTTTATAAACAAACATATTTACTTAATATTATTATCATTACTTTACAATATTTTCTTTACAAAACATGAGAGTTGGTTGGATGTGTGTCAAAAGTTGCTTAAAAGTAGGTTTTGGTTTCTTTACATTCTGGTACGATTTACATATACAGTTTTTTATACAATTTGGAATACATTTCACTTAAGCCTATGGCGTTGATTTTATATGCTTGCAGAGGATTATCTACAGACAAGTCCACATATATGTGGCAGAGGCGGTTAGCTTACGGATCATCTGAAGACTATAGTCTATGATGAAATATTATAGTTCTTCATCTAATATTATCGATCTACTCTTTTTTTTTTTTTTGTAACGACAAAAACCTGACACTAATATAAATATGTATATTTGATACGTTCAGTAACTATTTCATCTGCAAGGATATATTCGCCTCGACTTGCCGAGAATGATTGGTGTTATACAACATTTCAGAGATGATAAAATTATTGATGTAGCTCAAGTAATTGAATCGAAAATGGAATGCTCTATTTTGGCATATTTATAATAGTTTTTGTACCACTTAATAACTGACTAGATCGATCTTTAGGGGATTTCGGGAAAACATTTATCTATGCAGGTATACCAGAAAAAGACCTAGGGGTTGAAAAAACTTTGAATGATAAACAATAATATTTCTATGATTAAAATTAATGGTCCCACTATCTTTACAATTTGACTAACCGAATTTATTTCAATTGATTTAAGTAATTTTCCATTTCTTGTAGCTGCACTTCAAAACAATCGTACAACAAAAACTAACTAACTAAAAAAAAAAGACTAAATTATAGATATACTCGGTACATATTTGAATAGTACGTGGATAGTAGGTTTTCAATTAACTACAGAACTAACGCCGGGAAATAAAATATGCAAATATGTTGTTAAACAGGTATATGCCAAGAAAATAATAAAGCAATAACTAAACACATACAAAAAAAACAAAAGAAGGAACTTAAGGATAGTACAGAATACGTGGTATAAATCTATGCTAAGGCTATATTTATATTTATTATATTTATTTATTATTTGTTTTGTGTGTAAATAGTACCTATATGATATGAAAACAAAATCAAGTTATGTATCACAGCTTACTGCTAAGAGGGATTTTCGTATTTGGTTTCTCATTTCATTTGGCACAAGTTAAGGGTTCATAAAACAGATTTTCTCTAGATTTTGTTCTATATAAGTATTTGCTCTAGTAGTATATAAAAGTTACTCGTACTTAGTGTTAAGGCGACACTTTTTTTTTCGTTTGCTTATCGAAAATATATATATATATATATATATAGTGAGTAGTAGACTTTAAAAGTATGCGTTTAGGATTTGTTTGCTGTTTTTGTTTTTTTGTTTGGGTAAGAAACGCTAAGATAATCAAGTACACAATACGAGTACGAGTACATTCAATTAGGATACGATTATACGATAATTATGTTTTAATATTTAGTTCTGCTCAGAGTTATACGAGAGTTACGAGAGATAGAGATTACGATGCGCCAGCTGAATATTTACGCTAAACGTGTTTTATACAATTAAATACGTTTTTTTTTTGTTTTTTTGTTTTGGCGTTCTTTTATTTTTTTGACATGTACCTAAGACTTTGTTAACGAGATAACATCTTCAATTCCTTTGGCTCCTGCGACAACAGCTGGGACTGCGCACGCGTCCAAGTTCCCATTGCCAGTTCCAATTTATGGCGCCAGTTGTTGGTTCTCCACATTTCGTCACTTTTCAAGTATATGCATATATATTTATATATATTTGTTTTTGTTTTTTTTGTTGATATGAATTATAGTATTGCATACATATATATTTTCCTTTTTGTTTTTTGTTGTTTGTAATTCAACTACGTAGCTAGCTAAGGCTGTGTGGATCCTATGCTTAAAACTAGTTGTACTGGGATGTTCTTCACCTATAGAGCAGGACACAACACACACACACACATACGCACTCCTCATAGAGGTGTGCGAGTGGCGCAGCAGTTGGTAAACCAGTTTTCTTCTTCTTTTTTTTTGTTTTCTTGTGTTGGCTTCATTGTTTCTTGGAGCACAACAAAAGGTGAGCATTGTGTGTGTGTGTATGTGTGTGTGTGGGTCTTGTGGCTTGTGTATAGTAAAAAAAATAGTTGAGTTGATATAAAAGGGCAGAATGTTTGCTTGCGTTTGTCTGACTATCTGTGCTATCTGTGGAAGGACAACGAGACAACCCCCGTTAGGATCGGTTGCTTGCGAATAAAAACAGTTCCATTTTCATTTCCAGTTCACATTCGAATTCCTTTTACTACCTTCGTCGACTGTAGTTGTTTTTGCCCGTAATTGCGCAATTGCGCAGAGCAGTAGGCAAGGCAGAAAGCGAGAAACTACCCTATGGACTCGCGGCCAGGTTGGTTGCCATTGTCCTGTGCCAAAGGCAAAACCATTTGAGGGGAGCCAACAAACAGCTGCGCGCACAGGACTCGTAAACGGCAGCTGCTATTTTTAATAGCCTAAGCCCAACAACAGAGCAGAGCAGAGCACAGAGCAGAGCACGAGCGCCTGCCCCTGCAACTGTTCCGACAGAAACAACAGTAGTACATGTTTGAATGCATTGGAGTTGGTTGATTGTGCGTTTATTAAGCGGACAAATTGTTTAATACGCATGCTTAAAATGCAACATCCGCTGCGCATGTGCATGTCTTCCCAATACAGCGAGACGCGACTGTAAACTCAAATATTTGTCAAAACTGCTTTAAGCTAAACCCAAAGCTGTCCTCAGCTCACAGTGGACTTTAGCTGTAAATTAACAGTGCTGGGGCGATAATTGTGAGAGCACTTTATTTAAAATTTCAAATAGTAATCAAATTTGGCTTAGCTCAAGCCGAAATAAATAAGTTATTCAGTTTTTCCATCATTTTATGAACAATATGTAAAGCTGATTATGCAAAAATACACTCGATATACATTTTCCATCCCTGTACGCTTCATGACATTATATATTAATTATGCGAAAGTTGAAACCTGATTTATCAATAATATAATATGCCCTGTTGCCTGGATTTCGCTTCGCCTTCTTCTGTTTTTTGTATTTTAATATTGTTGCCTGGTGGTCGTCTTTAAGTCTTTTGTTTGGCACGTAGCGAAAACTGTAATTCTAAACCAGACAGAAACCAATAAATAATGTGAAAGATGCAAAAATGAAGGAAGTGGCGGACGACGGACGGGGGACACAGACAGACAAAAAAAGGCCAACAACAGTAGTAAATCACATATTATCATTCTGATGCTGTTGTTTTTGTTTTTGCTGTTGTTGTCGGAGCTGCATTCGGCAAAGCAACTGCAGCTGCGCCGAATAATAAAGGTGAGAAAAATGAGATAAGCAGTGATGAGAGAGAGAGAGACAGAGATAGGGAGGGAGAGAGCGAGCAAACAGACAAACTGAGCGAAGCTCATGTGTAGCTGTTAAAATCTGCAAGACCGAAAACAGATAAACGCAAACAAACAACAGAAAAGAGTAGTGAGACCCCCGAACGAACAGAGAGAAAGAAAGGTGAAGAAATTGGAAATGGCAAAAAGAGATAACACAAGTAGGAGTAGTAGTAGATGGTAAAAATATTAGGCATAGACTAGACTACATTCGACTTACCTGTGTTACCGGATCCTTCATGATGAGCACATCGGTGACGGTGCCAAACATATTGAAGTATTCCTTAAGCTTGTCCGACGATGTCTGCCAGCTGAGGCCGCCAACAAAAAGTTTGCCCGGTGCCGGATCTGACATACTGCCGCCACTGTTGCTGGGCGTCGAGCGACCCGACGAGCTGCTCTTAATGCTTAAATTGGCAGCGTTGCCATTCTGAGCGACAGCATTCACATTCTCCACCTTGAGCAGCGCCAAAGCAGCCTGCTGTGCGGCTGCCTGTTGTTGTTGTGCTGCTTGCTGCTGCTGCTGTTGTTGTTGTTGCTGCTGCTGCTGTTGTTGGTCTTGATCCTGCTGTACAGCTACTGTTGGAGGTGTTTGTCCGGCAGCAGTTTGCTGTTGTGTTTGCTGCTGTTGCTGCACCTGAGCCTGAGCCTGTGCCTGAGCAGCTGCGGCACTTTTTAGCACCGCCGCTGTAGTCAATGTACCGTTAATGGCAGCCACATTGCTATTGGCTATGGAGGCGACGAGTGCATTGTGCAGCTCACGATTGTGATGCGGATCGATTAGGCCAGCGGCGGCTGCGGCTGCGGCAGCGGCAGCATTATCGATCGGATTGCTGTGATGGGCATTAAAGAAATATTTATCAGCGGCGCTTAGTACTAAATCCTCGTGCGGCGGCTGCGATTGCGACTGCAACATTGTGGCGCCCTCCTTAAGCGCGTGCATTTCCTGTTTTAGCTGAATTTTGAAGGCCGTGTTTAAGTTAGAATTTTTATTTATAATTATATTTTCAGTGATTTTTTCGTTTTCGTATTTTACTTTATTCGATACTTCTCGTTTTGACGTTTTGTGTTTTTTTTTGTTGTTAGGTATTTCTAACTTCTTGTCTCGTTGCGCGATTTGTTTTTGTTGCCAATGGCAATAGGGCTTAGTTGTTTTTTTTTTTTGTGTTTTATTATTTGTATTTAACAAGCACATAAATTAATGCAAATGTCTGCACAGCACGAAATACCCCAAACAATTTAATGACTGCGAAAATAGTATCTCAATTTAGTATAATATTCACATAATATATTTGACAAGCGTTAGTTTGTTTCTTGCTCTGCGCGGCTCGACTGTTGAATTCTGAATGCGTTGCTGCAGGATGTATGCAAGAGAGCTCACCAAATCTAAAATAAAAATTAAATTTCAACGAATGAGCGTGCGCAGCGGCACACACAGAAAAAGAGAAGGAGAGAGAGAAGGAGCAGCAGACTAAGCAAAGACAGCTGTCACATATGCCAACACACACACACATACACACATATGCATATGTATTGATGTGCCTGGGGTTGCCCTTCGCTCAAGGCACAACAGAGGGTTGTCAGGTAGTAAGACAGGATTCCGTTTGCAAAAGCTACGCAGTGTTGCAAAGTATGCGGCAGTGTTGTTAAGCGCATGTGTTAATTACATCAACTGCTATAAAGATTTTTGAAGTGGGCAGCACTTGAAAGAGGGTTTCAAGTGGTATTTTTAAGTGCGAAACACTTGCTCAAAATAACTGCCACTGATGGAATGATCTTGTGCGAATGGAGAGCCATCAGTTTCACTTGCGAATCTATTAAATAAACTACTAACTAAAATATATATCCATTGCATTGATTAAGTTCAATCCAAATTATATTTTATACTATTTTATTTTAATTTTTTAGTATTGTTATATGAATTCTATTTTTTAACTGGTTATTCTCTTTTTTCAGGCTCTGCCAGTTATAATTATTTGTGCAATAGGCTTGGGCTTAGAAATTCTCGCAACAATGCGCCTGGCGGTGACTCGTGATGATGTTTACTACACTAAGAACTCAGCGGCGTGTGATTTTGTTGAGACACGGGTAGGATATAAGGTGCCACAACGCAAGGTAAGCAGATCTTGCAGCAGATCCTGTAAAATAACAAATTCGATACTTATGTATAATAAGTAAATATATATTTATTTACAGTTCTTGGTAATTAATCAAAAATATGAGAATCCACCGGGGCTACTGAACGCACTTCAGGGAGATGTTAAGGGACCGTGTAAGTATTAAATTGAAGACGTTTCGAATTTTCAGCGCTTCCACCATTAACTAAGAATTTAATGCTTCTCTGTTGGGATACCTAAGAAATTAGGAATATATATTGCCACCTGATACCAACTGAATGCATATATTATTCTATCAGCTGAGTTCTCTTTCACTATTTCGATCTGGAGGCGTTGAAAATTTCGCATTCGAAATTTAAATTCATTGAATATATATGCGAAATTTGCTTCCAGTTGGCACAATGTGTATAAAAAAACAAAAAGAAAAAGAAAAAATTGGACTGAACCGAAAGGCACTCGTAGCTCATACTCTTGTGGGTCTTGGTTTTCTTGGCCTAATTTTTGCAGTTTAGCCATATTTCATTCAGTGGGAGAGAAGCATAAAATTCATATAACCTTTGAATATCAAAATTATTTTCTGTGGATACACTAATTGCAGCTGACGATGCAGGAGATGAGAAGAAAAAGAACAAAAAATAGTCATGTACGCTTGAAGAAAAGCTATTAATATATCCATATTACTTATGATCGATATAATGGAAATGAACTATTTTTTTTTTGATTTGAGAATATATTACAAAAATTTAAAAGCAAGTTAGTGTTTTCTTCGTTGAGAATGGCAACAGGATGTGAACTGTGTCAACTGTAATTTGAGATGTCCTCTTTTGCAGGTAGCAATCACATGCAAAATAAAAAAAAAAGCAAAAAACAAAACTCGGGAAATGCGGTCAAGCTGCTCAAACTGTGTGTATTTATTAAGGTTTGAGAAGCACTGAGAATAACAGCTACGCAATAAGCAAGCAGTGTATACAAACAGCTGTAAAACAGCAGCACAGCAAGCAAGCAGTACACATGTAAGCAGTGCTAATTTCAAAATTCAAATTTAAAATGGGAATTTTTGGGACCCGCACAGCCGACAGGATACACTTACGAGAACGGCTGTACTTTCTATGCTTGCTGCTGCTGTTGCTGCTGCTGTCAACTGTCGGCACCTGCTTCCAATGCAGCTGCGCAGTGCACACAAACGAGAGGGGGAAATAAATTACAAAACAAGAATAAACACCAAAAATATCCCACAAAAATCTAAGGGCGCTCGGGCAATTTTAAAATGTCCTGCTCTCTAAGCGGGCGTCACAAAATTTGGACAGATTTGCTCCTGCTGAGTGGGGGTGTGTACGTGTACGGCTGTGTGTGCGTGTGTTTGTGTGAGTGTATGTGTTTTAATCAAAAACAAATCGAGGCAGCGAAGCTGGCAGCGCAGCAAATAATGCGTTATTGATTTTTGAGGACAGCGCGTCGCAGACAGGAAGGAAGGAGCGAGCAAATAATGCCGAAAGGATATTAGTTTTATTAATATTGATTGCGAAATAATTCAATAAAGTGTCAACGCGCGCAGACCAGCTGCATACAATTTTTAGTGGTGTGTCCCTCACTCGTCTTCTAGTCGACGGTTATTGAACTTGCCCAGGTTTTTTTTTTTTTTTTTTTTGGCAAAATGGGCGTGTCTGCGGATGGGCAGGCAGGCAGGCATTTCTATGGCCGCTGCTACTGACCCAGAAAGTGTTTTGTACTAAAATATTTATGGGACGCGTTCGTTAGTTATAATACAAGGGCAGGAGGAGGGGAGGGGGGGCGCAAAAGGGAGGGTGACGCGCGCAAAGGGCACTAAGGCGGATGGATCAGGTGACCGACCCTATATGATGTTTCTACAAATAGCCGATGATGACATCAGCAGCAACCAGCGGCGGCGCCTTAAATTCTAATTCGATTAGGCGCACTTATTACAAGTGTCCCTCAGTCTCTCAGTCAGCAACAAACCAGAAGCACCCACCGCTCGACAAACCCCCTAATTGCGTCAAATAAACAGTTGGCCAGCTCAAATGAAAAATTGTGGCCACAAAAAAAAAAGCAACAACAAAAAGTAGAACGTTACGCAGTTTAAAACTGCATGGCAGGTCCGCTCAGAGAAAAGAGGGGCAAATACATATTTCCATTTTTGCCGGCAAGCGAACACACACACACACACACACAAAAGGTATTGCCAGAATAATAACATGAAGAAAAAAGAACGAAAGGACGACATCAGCAGCAGTAGCAGCAGCAGCAACAGCAATGGAAATGACAAGCTGTTGCCTGCGGGCGCACGCTGCGTATGTGCGATGTTCTGTGATGTGTTTGTTATGCTATGTTATTCTTTATATATTTTATTTTGCCACAAAAATGTGTGGGCAAAAACTACGCAGACCAAAACAAAACACACACACACACGCACGCACGAGTATACACACACACACACTCGCACAATGCGATAGCTTCATCAAAAGTTATTTCGTCCTGAGCTGAATGACAGCAAGAGAGGAACACAGAGAGAGAGAGAGAGAGAGAGAGAGAGAGAGAGAGCTAGCTGCAAGGTAAGACCGGAAGTAAATGTCCAACAGATTGAATAGTTTTACAGTCGTTTCGAGGTGTAGTCAGTAATTTATATATAAAGTTCTGATTGCGTTGCAAATTAAACAGTTTGTTTTAAATGTTTAAAATCAATTGAAATAAGAATCAAAATCGAACTTATAAATGAAGGACTGTCTAAGCGTTTAATCTCTAATTTGTACTAATTATTTTTTTGGTTTATCTGGGTTTTCCCCAATTCATGTACCCTCTGAGATCTTTTTTAAATATTTCTTATTTTTTTATATTAATATATATAATTTTAAATTTTATTTAAAATTGAATTAAATTTGTTGTACTCTTTGTATTTTTTGTGTCGACTGATTTTAGTTGACAATAAATAAATAGGGCTTCTCCCTACTTGTTGTTAATCGCGGTTATTACTCACTACTCACTACACAAGCCTTAGGCTTTGATCTGCATTTACTCTTGTGCTGACAGTTGCAATCCGATTTGCGATTACTCCGTCACATTACACATTCCCTCCAACCACACCCCCCCCCCCCCATATGTGGGGCTGCATAATCAGTTAAAACCGACAAATTGCAACTGCATTTTAAATGACAACTAAGTCGGCGCCCAACAGCTACGATTGCATACTTGAAGTGCCTGTAAGCAAATTGCTTGAATCTGCAACATTTCTACCCACTTGCCTGCACTCCACCTGATGTACCCACCTCTCCCCCGCCTGCCTGCCACTCCTTCAATTGCAATCATAATCGCAGTCTCCTTTGGGCCACAATGCGCATTAAGACAGGCGAAAATGCGGCGCTAAAAGTTATGTAGATACAAAAGTTAGGGGCCTGCAATTTCATTCAGTAAACCGCCATCAAAATGTATACGAAATGGAAAACAAGCGAGGGAGGAGCGCTTACAGAGAGGGGCGGCAGCTACCCTTACTCTACTCTCTCTCTCCCTCACTCTCTCTCGTCCTCTATCTGCCCTAAAAGCAGCATATGGAACAACTTTATTGTTTTTACATTTGATTTTCATGCTGGAAAAGAGGCAGAGGCAGAGGCAGAGGCAGTGGGAGAGTGTAGTGTAAAGTGTGTGGGGGTGGTAGATGGGCTGATGGGGGTTGATGAGCGGGTTGGCGGGGGTTGCTGCTGGCCAGCACTTGCAGTGCTCGCAAAGTGCACGTCGAACAACAACGCATAAATTCAACAAAAACAAGAAAGACGACAACGACAAAGTCGCTTGGAAATATGTCTATATATCATGTAGAGCGGGTGGTGTGTGTGTGTAAGGGCTGCTTGTGTGTGTGTGTCTGTGTATGTGTCTGTGCCTGTGTCTGTGTGTGTGCGAGGCGGAGGGAGTCTGGAAATGACGAACGTTATGAAACTGGAAAACCACCCCCGAAAAGCCGAGCACACACGATACACAGCGAGAAAAAATCGACTATGTAATGTAGAATAATTCACAAGTGGGACTATTAATATATATCACCGACAGAGAGAGAGCGAGGGAGAGAGAGAGAGAGATGCAAAGAGAGAGAGCGCTAAGCTTAGCCCGGCTAACAACCCAAGAACCCAACAACCCCTGTCGTCATCAACAACAACAGCAAACATTTGGGGGAGAGTTTTTCGCAATTGGAATGCGCGCGCAACCCTCGAAAAATTGGTGCGTGGTGACGACAGCTAAAGCGGTCGCTTCCTTTACTGCCTTTCAGTCAACTTTGGGTTTTCGTACGTGCAATTTCTTCTCCGGCTCGATGACGGACCGTTCTCCACCAGATATCCAACGACAAGAAAATAGAGAAAAAAAAAAAATAAAAATAGAGAAAAGAAAAATCAGCATCGAATTAAAATGCCATGCAAAAAGGAAAGAAATCCAGCAGGCAACCTGTACAATTTTTGGGATAGATCTGTGTGCAGCAAAGTGAAAGGTCATCAAGAAATGTATACAGATTTTGGATACTTGGATATATATATATATATTTAATCGTTGCGCTTGCCAGTGATATTGTCCTGTCACAGCAGTATTGTTAATTAAGCAATTGGTACTGCTGAGCCGGGGCATTAACATTGTTGAGCGTTGCTAGCAACTAAAAAGCGAGCAGCGAGCAGCGAGAAGCAGAGAAGCAAAAAGTTCTTCGAGTACAAGAAAATCCTCGTGTCAAAAAACTATGCGGCATACAGGCAAAATACAAAACACACACATCAAATATGCAAGCATGCGTGTGTGCGTGTGCGTCTCTGTGTGTGTGTGTGTGCGTCTGTGTGTGCGTGCGTGTGTGTGTGTGTGTATGCATATGCGAAGAGACCGGAAAAATCAATTTTCCATTTTTAATTCAAAGCTAAAAGCAAAGGCAAAACTCTATACACTCACGCACACTCAGAGCGAGTTCTGTATGTGTGTGTGTGTGTGTGTGTGTGTATGTCTGTGTGTGTGTGTATTTGCTAGCAAGCCCAAATGGATAAGCAGGATGCTGCAAATCAGCAGCTAGGCCTGAGACACAAACACACTCACACACACACAAAGACAGGGATAGCAACAGAGAGTAGATGAGAGAGAGACCCAACGCGAGACAGTGGGCGGAAGCGAGAGATAGAGCGAGAGAGAGAAAGAGAGTGAGATAAAGAACGGTAGAGAGAGAGAACGCGCCAAGGTGCTAGAGTATAGACAAAAGCTGTGCGGGAAACGTTTTGGAAACTGAAACAAGGCAGCTAAAATATTTAATTACACTTTTAAAACAAATTCTTCAAATTGTGAAAAACTTTCAAACCAACAATTGTACGAGTAACCCCAATATATATATATATATATATATATATTTATATATATAATCAAAATGAAATCTGTTCACATGCTCGGCTGCATTTCAGAAATTTTGGGCGCGACCACACCCACAAGATAGCCAAAGCGAGGAGTTGGGGTGGGGGTGGGTGTTTAAATTGCCAAAATGTTACCAGGCGAAAAATGCCGGGTTCGCGGCACATACATCTGTATATGTATATGTATAGCTGTGTGCTGTGTCCGGCATCAGGGTTCTGGGCTGCTGCGACTGCAATGCCAA